CCTCCTGCCCCGGCCTCCGTTGCCGTCTCCTCTCTCCTTGTCAGAAGCAGGGGAGGAGAGAGGGGGCTTTGCAAAAGGGGTCTGGGAAAGCACCCTCCCTTGGGGCCCTGGCTGGTTGTCCTGCTTGGTGGGAAACCCAGGCTTTTTCTAAGGCTGCGGCTGTGCCTTTGCCAGCAATAAAGCAGACAGAGCCGTCGGACACAAAAGGCAGCCCTAGTGCAGTGCCAGGGAGGACAAAATGGGACGTTGTCCCCGAGTCTTTGAGGTCTTTGCCCCCCTGCTCCTGGGAACCGTCCATCCCTTTTTAGCCATGATCTCCAGCGCAGCTGTGGCAGGCGGGGATTGGAGTTGCGGTGGGAGGACGTGAAGGGCTCGGACCACCCCATTTGACATGAAAATCCTTCCCTGTGCCCTCAGAGGGAGGGGGAGCGTTTGTATTATGATTATTATTTTAATCCTGCGTCTTCTTGGCAATAAGCTCCTAAAGGCAGTGGGGCCGGGGAGAGCCGGGGGGTTCTAGTGCTGTCTCTGCACGGCGGGCACGCTGCCGCGGCCCGAGCCTCCTCCTTGAGCAGCAGTAGGGCTCTTCTGCCTGCCGGTCGTGCTGGCCCCAAACAGCCTCCTCCCCTTCAGTCTGGGGTAATCGGTGCCCAGGAGCGCTCAGTCTTTCCCAGGACATCTGTCTTGCGAGCTCTGGCATGGTTTGCAGATCTCGGCATGTGCTGTGTGTGTGTGTGGAGGGTCCGGGGCAGCTTGGGTTTGGGAAGAGCTTTGGAGAGCGTTTGACCACCGGAGACTGTTGTTTTGCCCCGCGGGATGGGAAGTTACCCCTCCTTGCCTAGCAGCTTTCCGCTGGAGCCGTCTGGGGCGCGAGTCGGTTCCAAGTCTATCGGTGGCACTGTTTGGTTCCTAGAGCAGCATTTAGTGTCCTTCCAAGATCGGGCTGTGATACTGTTCCCAGTGCGGAGCCGGTGTTGTAACAGCAGTGGAGCAACCTCAGATGGGTGTCTGCTGTCCCCCCTCTCCCGGGAGGTCCCCCGGGGACAGGGCAGGGGGGAAGGAGCCGCCTGGTCTCCGCTCTCAAGGCCCAGTCTAAGAGCAGCCATCCCAGTTCAGCCCTTCTCTCTCTTCCCGGCCCAGCCTGTACGTTGCAGTAACGCCCAGGGGAGCCGGCCCGCGGCGGCGGCGGCG